TTATCATCATTATAAATATTCTTCTCCATGTAACATATTGTTTTGTTTACTATAGGACTCAGTCTCGCTTGTTGAACATTCGATTTGCACCTCCCTACGTAATCTATTAAATTAAATTTGTTTGGCTTTTTATAATCTCCGCCGTTTCAATTGGTAATGCCGATTGCATCTTGTTCTTCCATATCCACGCGGTTTATTTGATGGCCTTTAGAACTGCTGTAAATGTATGCTCGTCATGCTATACGTTCTTGTTTTACAATAATTATTTGGTGACGTTGCTGTTGCTGCTGGCGATGCTTCTGCGGTGGCAGTAGTGCACGAGCACAATTCACAACAACAACAATGAACAACAATTAACCAACAATTAAAAACAAATAACAACAATTAACAACAATTAAAAACAATTAACAACAATTAATAACAAGAACAACAAACTGAACACATTCATAAATAACACTGCGGCCTTAAAAATAAAAAAACCCGATATAATACAGAGAGGCAAGAGAAGTAGCGTGACCCTCTGCAATGTGCTGTGAAGAAGGGCCATTGCTCGAAACGTCGCCTGTTTTAAGGACGCAGTGTTATTGACGAACGCGTTCAGGTTTTTTTTCTGGCCCTGACATAAAACAAAGAAACAGGCTCGTGCTGTGTCGCGATGGGATCTCAGCCGAGTTTTAAACAAAGCATCGATGCATAATCGAGTTTTATTTTTTATTAGATCGCGTAAATATATAAATGTGTCCTTAAAACCCGCCACCACCCGACACAGCCAACTCGTAAGGGTTGTCACGTCAACAGAACGTAGCCAATTCGTCACTAGTACAGCACGCCGGTGTGTTTGGAGAGCCAAGCCACAAGCATCGATGCATTGATGAATTGCATTGAAGAATTGCATTGTTTGGATGCGAGTTAGGGTGGACCGTGAGCTTCGTGGAAGATCAAACCCAGGGATCTTCTGCGTTGTAGGCCACTGAAGTTAGTTGGCCACTGACCTTTCCACGTGTAATCTCAAGTGGGATTGCACATCGCAGCTATAACCCCCCCTACTGGCAAGCTAATGCACAATTGCAGGCCTTGTGCCGTACAGAGACAGCTTCCACCGGGGGGTGCCCCTGGGAGGTTGGGGGGTTACCCTTCGAATGGTTGAGATGAGATGCGATGTCAGGCAACCGTGAGATTATGAGGCCGTTACGTGTATGCCCTTCTACATTGCAAATATCCATTTCCCTTTACTTACCGTGTGAACCGGAGGTCACTTTAAAGAGATGTCAGACGGTAGTTCTGTGACATCATCTTCCGTGGGCCGACCCTGTAAACAAGAATGTTTGCTCTGCGAGAGATCTGAATGGGGGGTGGGTAGCGGGGGGAGGGACATCGGCTCACGACGTGAACATCGATCGGGGTGACACTGCAGAGACGCACGCCCCTCCGCGCTTGTGTCGCTCGCACCGTGACCTCTCAGGCTCAGGAGCGGCAAGGGAGGAGGGGGCGAGGGGGGAGAGATGGGAGGAGGAGGCGGGGCTCTTGACCCCCCCCCCCTCCCCCCATCGACTCCAAAAGACATCGGCGGTCGGCGCCGCGTCACAATGCGCCGTGACACGAAGGGAGGGGAGAGGAGGCGCCTCGTGCGCACGCGTTGCGTCGTCCGTTGCGTCGTGCGTTGCGTCGTGCGTTGCGTGGAATTGCGTCGTGCGTTGCGTCGTGCGTTGTCGTGCGTTGCATGGAATTGCGTTGCGTTGCGTCGTGCGTTGCGTGGAGTTGCGTGGCGTGGCGTTGCGCCGCGCGTCTGCTCATGACGAACGCGCCCTCGACGTGCCACTCCGCTCGATGCCACCTTCCATTTCCTCCTTCTTTCTTCTCCCCGGCAGCTTGCCCAAGCGATGTTGAAATGGGGCTCACACCTTAGCCGGGTAATTCCTTTTGCCACTGCGACGATAAAATGAAGAGATGGCTTTGCGGCTGCCACCACCCCCACCCTCACCAGGAGGGCAATGATGATAGGTGATGGGTTGGGGCACGGCCACGGCCCCCAGACCGCCTGAAGAACGGGGGGGGGGGGGCTGTTGAAAAGCCACGGGGCCGTGATTCCGTGAGATCGCGATGACTGGGGTCATGACTGGGGTCATCGCGATTGTCGTCACGGCAGGGCTGACATCTCGGGCTTGACACGCCTCACTTTGAATGGAGACGCTTGTGCGTAGGCCCTCTTTCGCGACGGACGTAGTCGTCCGTCGCTCAGCGGAGGTGCAGATGCGCCACATTCACAATTTTTGTTCATCGGTTCATCTTGCATCGGTTTGAGCGAAGCGATCCAAAGCGATTGCGTTTATTATCAAACTCAACGCATTAAAATGCCAAAAAAAACGATCATTGGCTACACCGCCTAACTCGCATTTCTTGTCGTTGCAGCGTGATGCAGCAGTTGATTTTTTTTTACGTGTGGTGGGGTAAAGTGTGGGTGAGCCCTTCTCTTCCAGGGTGGACGAGTAGGCCAAAGCCATCAGCTGTAGGCGTTCCGCGAGCGCTTCCCCTATTGCACGGCCCCTTTTGTATTACCAGCAGTGGCGTGGAAAAGTAATTGCAGGGCTGCGCCTTTAACTTTATGTTTTTTTGTTGTCGTTACAATATTTCCGTAACAGGTTAGGTCACATAGTCGTTATTACCGCGAAAAATAACAACATCAGATATAAATTTTGATTTAAAGCTTTCGTGACTGCAGTAATTCATATTCTTAGTTTTTTCGGTAAAGTCACGTTGAAGAGAAACAACAAAATAACAAAATATATATTGTTTTATATATATTTTGTTATTTTGTTGTTTCTCTTCAACGTGACTCGGTAAAGTCACGTTGAAGAGAAACAACAAAATAACAAAATATATATAAAACAATATATATATTTTGTTGAAGAGAAACAACAAAATAACAAAATATATATAAAACAATATATATTTTGTTATTTTGTTGTTTCTCTTCAACGTGACTTTACCGAAAAAACTAAGAATATAACATCAGATATGCCTATGTGTGTGTCTCTCTCTCTGTGTCTCTGTGTGTGGGGAGCGGTAGTGTAGCGGTTAGCGCGCTGCGCTATGAACCTGGCGACCCAGGTTCGATTCCCGCTCACAGCCAACACCAGTGACGATTATCTGAACCGGTCCTGGGCCTCCCCTAGGTCGACTCAGCCTCAAATGAGTACCTGGTGCAGTGGATAAAAAACATTGCCACTGGGGAGACGAAGGCGGTCGGGCGTGGTGCTGGCCACCTACCCCCTCGTGTACCGTTCCAGCCTTCATAGGTGCTCGCTAACAGCACTTGCCCCTACAGTCTGTTAAGGCTATACGGGGGATCTGTCTCTCTGCTTGTGTCTCTCTGCTTGTGTGTCTGTCTGCGTGTCTGTCTGCTTGTCTGTCTGCGTGTCTGTGTTTTGTCTCTCTCTCAAATTTTGCAATCTTTAGAAGAACGTAATCAACCAGGTAGGGTGTTGACTGTTGTGTTAGCCGACTCTCTGTGTTGTATTGCATTATATTTCTAAGTTTACTAGATTTGTTTTCGCTTTCATTTGTACCTGATAATGATGATTGCTTGTGTTGCAATCGAAACGTCGTATGCTATTATTTAATTACTTTTTTCTTTCTACGTGACTTTACCGAAAGAACCAAAGAGTAACATCAGATATGTTGGGATGCACTGTGGCAGTGCCGGTTCGAAGCAACATGATCACCGGCTCCTCTTTGTTTTCGTTGCACGTGACCGGAGTTTTATCACCCCACATCAAAAAATAATCTTCAAACGAGTGGGTGTTGATGCATCCTATGATCATCGTTATAATGACGCTTCGTTACCCAGGAAACGCTATTCCTACGCGTTTCCCAATTCACGTAATTTGCGGTGTCATTTTGTTCTTCACATTCGGGGAAAAAACGTTGACGGGAACACAATGGCTGGCCCACACTTGTTAGCAGCACGTCCACATCACGTGGCTAATACGCACCGCAGTATTAACCAGGGCGGGCTACTGCACTCCCCGCCCCCCCACCCCGTACGACAAACGCACCACGGTCTCGGTCACGTCACCACCCCCTCCTCCATCTGTGCGCCCCAGGAGAACGCTGGCAAGAACTAAGACAAAGAACCCCCGTATAGCCTCGACAGACTGTTGGGGCAAGTGCTGTTGACGAGCACCTATGAAGGCCGGCACGGCACACAAGGGGGTTGGGTGGCCACCACCCCGCCCGGCCGCTTTGTCTCCCCAGTGGCGATATTGACACACCGCACCAGGTACGCATTTGAGGTTGAGTTGACCTAGGGGAGGCCCAGGACCGGTTCAGATAATCGTCACTGATGTTGTGCCGCGAGCGGGAATCGAACTCGGGGCGCCGGGTTCATAGCGCAGCGTAGCGCCAACCGCCACACCACCGCTCCCCACTGGCACAGACACAAAGACAAAGATCTCCCGTGTAGCCTGTAACAGGCTGAGGGGCAAGTGCTGTTAGCGAGCACCTATGAAGGCCAGAACGGTACACGAGGGGGTGGGTGGCCAGCACCACGCCCGACCGCCTTTGTCTCCCCAGTGGCGATGTTTACACACTGCACCAGGTACTCATTTCAGGCTGAGTCGACCTAGGGGAGGCCCAGGACCGGTTCAGTGAATCATCACTGGTGTTTGCCGTGAGCGGCAATCGAACCCGAGTCGCCAGGTTTGTAGCGCTAACCGCTACACTACCGCTCCCCATTGGCACAGACACTCACACAGACACACGCACAGACACACACACAGACACACACAGAGACACACGCACAGACACACACACAGACACACGCACAGATACACGCACAGACACACACACACAGACATACGCACAGACACACGCACACACACACAGACACACACACACAGACACACACATACACACACAGACACACATACACACACAGACACACACAGACACACGCACGAGGAGCGTCGCCTTCATCGTCGATTCCGCGGGCCGATACAACTCGCTCGCCTGCGTGCTGTCTGTCTGGCACCGACCGGCGGTGTGCGCTGGCTAAGGGCGTCACGTCACGAGCGAGTCGTTCAGCGAGCTCACGGCGTGCGAATTTTAAAGAAATGTCAAAGCGTCGGTGCATGCAACCTACGCCCATCCCCGCCACCCACCACACCTGATGATTAATATCGCGTGAACCGAACTCCGCGAGTGCGCGCGTCCGCCCGCCGGCCGGCTTGCCATGCCTCAATTATTAACCACACTGGGGCTCATCAAAGTGCCCACCGACATCGCCACCACGGCCGCCACGGAAGCCCCCCCCCCCACTGCCCTCCTGAATGGACCGAGTTGGAGGCCTGCAAAGAACGCGAATAATCAGTCACCGCGCAGTCCTCCTTCCTTCTGCTGTACCCGGTGCAGGTAATCGGGCTCCGTTTGGAGCATTTTGATATCTCTCTCTCTCGCATATTTGTGGTCGCTTCACCGCGTGAAAGCTGCGAGTTTGACGTTGCCGAACGTTTTGTCATCTTCGATAAGCGGCGCTCTGTTCGCCCCCGGCTCTGCCCGTTTCCACTGCGCCATGCGATGCCACGGCTCGTTTACCAATCTCCGCGCTCCGATCTCAGAAATTTGCGGCATTCCCCGCGCCTGCGTCTCGCTCTCTCTCTCTCTGTCTCTCCTCTCTCTCTCTCTGCTCTCCCGAGTCATTGTGCACGTACGCCTCAGCCCCCCCCCCCCCCCACCTATCGTCAAGCCGCCTGCCAGATCACCCGCAGACGCATGCGCCAGGCTCACGTCTGCCCGGGGCTTCCGGAATCTGACAAAAATTTTTTTAGCGAAATCCGGACAATTGATTGCGTAGTGAGATTAACCATCAGGATAAATAAGATGGTTACAATCAGGCACACGTTTGCAACAATACAGCACCAATAAGTGGCCTTGGCTTTCCATTCGGACACAATGAACCTACGGGTCATTTTCAATCCACTGCTGGACGAAGCAACTCCTCGCATCGTGTCAGATGTTGGGGGTTGTTTGACCGTAGTCCACCACACTTGGTCAGTGCGGGTTCGGATATCACTCGCCACTGATGTCAGCCGTGGCCGGGAATGGAGTTCAGGTCCGTCGAGTTCATTGCAGAGTGCGCTAACCACTGCGCCACCGCTCCGTGTAATTAACCACTGCTGTTTATGCAATCACATCAGCCGGGTAACAATTGATAATTTTTGCAATTACATTTTTTTTTTAAAATCTCACTATACGTCCATCGATAACCTCCAATCTCAGAATCTAAGCAGATTTTGAGCCTGGGTATTGCTTAGGTTGTGCTTAGGTTGCACTATCCAGGCTCAGAAGTTGGACCGTACTCCTATGTTCCCGGCCTTCACCACACCACAGTGATCTGCGTGGTGAAGGTAGGTCATGCGAAGGCCCTCATTCAGCAGTAGATTGACGAACGGCTGGCGCATTGTACAGTACAGGCTATATGCATCTGCAAATTCACTTACGTAACAGTTACATAACACCAGTGTTTTCAAGAATTCAACCACAATGATCGTAATATTAATAATTATTATTACGCACGATGACAGCCAATTGGAAAGCATTGCATTACAATGTAATGCAGTACTACCATCTTCATCATTCACAGAGCCTTGTGGGAGAAGCTTCAATGCTGCGTGTCGGCTAATGCTGGTGCGCATTTGGCTTTTACGAATATTCTCTGAAACACTCCTAACCCCGGACATCCTTAAACAATGAGCGCTTCCATCTCAATGGAATTGTCCGGATGACATAACTGCATACGCACAACAAAATGCATCACAGAGTGTCCGTAAAGATATCGTCCATCCTCTTATGTAAAGACAGTATATATATTTTTTAAAAATTACATGAATACGTAGGTTTGAGATCTGTCGATAACATCTACAGGGACAAAGATCCCCTTCGTAGTCTTGAATGCACGGTTGGTGAAAGTGAAGTTAGCGAGCCAATATGAAGGCCTCGCAGGGCACACGAGGGGGTGGGTGGACCAGCACCACGCCCGGTCGCCTTTGTCTCCCCAGTGGTGATGTCGACGTATGGGTGGCCCGGGACCGATTCAAATATATTCGCTGTCACTCTTATTGGTTGTTGACCACCATTGACCACCGCTCCCCACTACAAAGACAAAGATCATCCGTATAGCCTTAATAAACTGGAGGAACAAATGCTGTTAGAGAGCACCTATGAAGGCCGGCACAGCGCACGAGGGGGTAGGAGGCCAGCACCACACCCGACCGCCTTTGTCTCCCCAGTGACGATATTTACACACCGCGCTAGGAAATTATTTGAGGTTGAGTCGATCTAGGGAGGCCCAGGACCGGTTCAGATAATCGTCACCGGTGTTGCCGTGAGCGGGAATCGAACTCGGGTCGCCAATGTTCGTAGCACAGCGCGCTAACCACTACACTGCCGCTCCCCTCTAACCATTACACACACGCACAGAGACACGTGGTTTTTGTGCCACTCTCATTCGTCTATCCCTCCACGTGTGCTATTGTGAGACTCCCAGGTGGTCACCAGCAATCCCGGCTCTGTGATTACGTCGAAGGATTCTGTTACGTTATCCTGAAGATCACTGGAGCTTTCCAGGTTATTTTTACATCAATTCTTGTCCTTCATACATGTTAATTATATATATATATACTACGCACACATTTTAAAATTTGTAATTCGACCAGATAGTGGTGGGGTCGCTTTTTATTTGGTCATGGATGTAGCTAGAATCCAGCCACGTGGCTCAGTGGCAGTGAGCGTGTAACTCGCAACCCACGATATGCGAGATCCAGATCCTGCTTTTTGGGGGGTTAACTCAGCAGGGTTTGTCCTATGGACAGACTCACCCCCGCCATCAGTGTGGAATTTCCACCACTGGCTCAGGCCTGTAGATATGCCCAGTATATATATTTACATTTTCGCCGTTGAGATGACGATATCGTGATGGATATCCCGTGTACTGTTTTTTGCTGTTGCACGTGTATGCATGTATGTTGAAATTCTTTCGCACCGTACGTAGCCGACCGCGCTAATCGGAGGTGCCGGGTAAGGACAACAAACTAAACACAAACAGGAGTTTTGAAGGAGTGAGTTTTCAATCTAGATGATTTATAAGTGAGCAGCTCCCAATGGCTTCATAATATTGGAAGGAAGAGAGTTCCAGACGGCCGCCTAAGGCGGTGTCACTAGCGAAGGTGATGAGTTTCTTCTTGTAAATAATACTAATTATAATGTATATCTACATTTACATCTACAGCAGATCATTGATTATTTGGCGGCTTCTCGAGGAAGGAGGCGCCGCATTTTCAAAAACGCCAGACAATCACTAATCATTATGATTTAAAATAACTTGTTTTTGCACATTCTTGCACGGCATTGTTTCTAGATGTTGCGTATATGTTCTTTTTAGTGTTTTAAAATGTGTTTACTGTCTGAAATTGTCATACATGAACATACAAATCGACAAAAAATAAATATCCCACTGTCAAAGGTTGCTTTGTTGTGATGTGTGCTCTTGTTTCAACAGCCATGTGTGTGCCTGACGATCACCAGGCTGGTTAACATCTCGTGGAGCGGTGTTTTCTTGCCGGTTTCACCAGATCGGCCCGGGACCGCCGGAACAATGCTTGAAGCCGGATAATCGATGATCAACTGTACATATGTTTAAGAGCTCGCTGACAGCTGACGAGTAGGGCAAATCGACCACTTAGCAGTCATTGCGACCGTTAGATGAACGTGAGTTGTCACCTCCGATGGAAGAGCGCGCGCGCGCTGCGAGCGAGCGTGCCATCGAACGGGGAGGAGAGTTTCGTTGATCGGGTGATAGGTGGAGTCGGTGACTTGAACCGGTTCGGGTTCACGGGGTTTCACTCGAGCAATCGATCACGGCTCGTCCCGTTGCTGCCATCCCGTCTGTAACATTTCTCGCTTTGCCGACTCCGCTAATTTGAATACAACATGGAATTTCCCTTCTACCCCAGACGTCCGTGCTGTCGACTCCATGCCCCTCTTATAAACTAAACGATTTTTATTTTTTTATTTTATTTCACCAGGTAAGGCCCACAGCTCTTTTGTTCAGAGGCGACCTGGCCATAAATTATAGCTCAACGAGAGGGGGAAAAAAATCCACGGGAAGAACATGCAAACTCCAAATACACAGCAGACGTCAGGGTGGGGATCGAACCCACGACGTCCTGTATACCAGGCGAGGTAGTTAACATTTCATAGCCACCGTGATGATGATGAGAGAGAGACATGCAAACTCCAAATATACAGCAGGCATCGTCAGGGTGGGGATCGAACCCACGACGTCCTGTATACCAGGCGAAGTAGTTAACATTTCCTAGCCACCGTGATGATGATGAGAGAGAGACACACGCAAACTCCAAATATACAACAGGCATCGTCAGGGTGGGGATCGAACCCACGACGTCCTGTATACCAGGCGAGGTAGTTAACATTTCCTAGCCACCGTGATGATGATGAGAGAGAGACACATGCAAACTCCAAATATACAACAGGCATCGTCAAGGTGGGGATCGAACCCACGACGTCCTGTATACCAGGCGAGGTAGTTAACATTTCCTAGCCACCGTGATGATGATGAGAGAGAGACACACGCAAACTCCAAATATACAACAGGCATCGTCAAGGTGGGGACCGAACCCACGACGTCATGTATACCAGGCGAAGTAGTTAACATCTTCGAGCCACCGTGCTGTTGAAGGCCAATCGCAGGAGCTTTCTCTTCCTCTCTGCATATGGCTGTCTCCGCCTACAGAATACGCATGCCCGTGCGCGGTCTCTGTGCGGCCCATATCAAGATGCGGTCTCAGACGCCACGTGATTCCGCACTGCATGGTATCGTACAGAATTTTAACGTGCGGTCTCATTGTGAACGCCGTATTCATAAAAAAAGCAATTTCTCACAACTGTATTACTGATAAGCAGTGAGACGTTATTTCCTTGTTTCGTGGAGGGGTGAGGTCTCATCATCACCATCACGACCCACGGGCAGTTAGCCCTTGGGTGTCCACTGCACACTTTGTCACGTGTTTTCCACTTTCCTCTCCGTCAGGTGCCAATTTGCTCAAGTAGTGGCCAAATCTTTTCGGCACCAATCTCTTCACGTCGTCATTAAACCATTCTCTGTTTGGTCTTCCTCTCTTTCCGGTTCATTCCGTTTTTTTTTTTAGAACAAGCGCACACTTTTAATTCTCCTGCTCTTGTCCATCCTACTCCACATGCGTCCAAATAAGTGGCCGTCTCCTTCTCAGAGGGTTCAAGGAGGTTGTAAACTCATCTCGCGCGGGATTAATCGACACGACGGAGAATTAAATGATGGAGAAAAAAAAGTGTACGGGGAAGCAACGGCGATTAGCAGACCAGAAGGCCCCTTCCCACCTCACTGACCTGCTCCACAGCCACAACCCATCCCGTAGCCTTCGCTCATCTGACGCCAACCTCCTGACTCCACCTCCCAGGACCAAGCGTCGAACCTGGGGCGACAGAGCCTTCTCTATAGCTGCCCCCCCCCCCTCACTTTGGAACTCTCTCCCAAAACAAATCCGTGACTGCACCAACCTTCCAGCGTTCAAATCATTGACTAAAACTCACCTTTTTAAAATTGCTTTTAATGTTTAGCGAAGTTTAATGTGTGTTTAGTGTTTTTTACCATTTGATGTTGTTTTTGCTGCTTTTATGATTTTATTTAAAGTGTCTTTGAGTATTCATGAAAGCGCTCACAAATAAAATGTATTATTATTATTAGAAGCAGGCGCGTCGCTAAAAATTGCCCTTCGCGTCTCGAGGCAGCCCCCCGCTTCCACTGATTTAAGGCTGCCCGCACGCGCTACCACAACAGCTTTACGGAGTGAGTGTGGGCAGGCCGATTAACAACCTCGCCCTGGTGAGTGTTGTGGGCAGGCCGGTTCACAACCTCACCCTCGTGAGTGTTGTGGCGTGATCACAGGGTGAGTGTTGTGACATGCTCACAGGGTGTGTTGTGGCCTGATCACATGGTGAGTGTTGTGGCCAGCTCACAGGGTGAGTGTTGTGACCTGCTCAAAGCGTGAGTGTTGTGGCCTGTCCAGAGGGTGAGTGTTGTGGTCTGATCACAGGGTGAGTGTTGTGGCATATTCACAGGGTGAGTGTTGTGGCCTGCTCACAGGGTGAGTGTTGTGGTCTGATCACAGGGTGAGTGTTGTGGCCTAATTAACAGGGTGAGTATTGTGGCCTGATCACAGGGTGAGTGTTGTGGCCTGATCACAGGGTGAGTGTTGTGGCCTACTCACAGGGTGAGTGTTGTGGTCTACTCAAAGGGTGAGTGTTGTGGTCTGCTCACAGGGTGAGTGTTGTGGCCTACACACAGGGTGAGTGTTGTGGTCTACTCACAGGGTGAGTGTTGTGGCCTACTCACAGGGTGAGTGTTGTGGCCTACTCACAGGGTGAGTGTTGTGGTCTATTCACAGGGTGAGTGTTGTGGACTGCTCACAGGGTGAGTGTTGTGGCCTACTCACAGGGTGAGTGTTGTGGTCTACTCACATGGTGAGTGTTGTGGCCTACTCACAGGGTGAGTGTTGTGGCCTACTCACAGGGTGAGTATTGTGGTCTACTCACAGGGTGAGTGTTGTGGCCTGTTCACAGGGTGAGTGTTGTGGCTTGCTCACAGGGTGAGTCTTGTGACCTGGACTGTCCACAACCTCACCCTGGCGGGGAGAGGGGCCCAAGAAGGCACCGCCGTGGCCGACCAACAGGGGGTGAGGGACATTTAATTCCTTGGCACCAAAGGCCGTGCCGACCGCGCCACGTAAACACGTGACTCTCTCTCGCTCTGCGTGTGAGCCCTGTCCATTGTCAAAGACCCAGTCGATCGTGGGCTTCATCCATTTGGCTCAGTCCACGCGTGTGACGTTTACTCAACAACTCTGCGATTATTTTTGTTCTTGTTAAGTGTGTATGTTTTTTTCTCGTTATTTATTGATTACATTTTTTTCGTATGTGCTAAGTAGTGGGCGTTTTGTATTATCTGTGTACCGAGTTGGATAATTGATGTGGCACGGAATTGCATGAATGACGCTCTATAAAATGTAATTATTATTAACTATGCATTAGATACTTAATCAGGGTTTAACACGTAGGCTTTCGCGACCAATATCATCCAAAATAGAGTATAGATTTTTGGGTGAGATCACGTAAATATGAAAGTGTCGTTATACCCGCCACCATCCGACACAGCCAATTAGTAAGGTTTGTCACGTAAACAGAACATTTACAGTAGCTAGCTGTAATTACTGGCGAAACGTCGTACTCAAATTCACTCTCCGACACACCAGTGTGCTGAACTAGTAACGAATTGGATTGTTGTGTTCACGTGACAACCCTTACTAATTGGCTGTGTCGGGTGGTGGCGGGTATAACGACACATTTATAATTTACGTGATCTAACCCCTCAAAACACCTCTATAATGGATTACTCATGCTTGCTAGAATTCCTCGTGCGACTTAATTCTCCGTCTTGCCTGCATGGCTTCTTGTGGTACATATAAAATCGCCCCCCCCCCCCCACCAGTAAAAACGCAACATTCAGACGAGCCACTCATCAGCTGGCGACCGTCAGCTGTTGGCGATGTTGCTCCTCCGATCGTCACCGGGCAACGTTCTTGGTGGGTGGGGGTCAGGAAAGCTTGCGGAGGGCTTCATCCAGCAGTGGATTGACCATGGCTGATGATGCTGCTCACGCTAGTTTTAGGTCAAAACCGTCGTACGCTAGTTAGTAGGACATGCACGTCGTCTCGCCTGTAGCTCTGGGCAGCAAGACACACAGGGGGTTGGCGCGGGAGGGTCAAGAAGAGGATGAATGAGAGGAAGAAGAAGAGGAAGAAGTTTTTGTTGAACGCTGGACGAGCACCGACACTGACCGGATCACGTGGTCAAAGTCGCGGGGTGGTCGACTCACGTGGCATTCCTTCCCCTCCTTCTCCTCCTTGTAACCTCGTTGTCCCACTCACCCATTATCCTATAGGCTATTGTTGTCCCACTGACCCATTATCCTATAGGCTATTGTTGTCCCACTGACCCATTATCCTATAGGCTATTGTTGTCCCACTGACCCATTATCCTATAGGCTCTTGTTGCCCCACTCACCCATTATCCTATAGGCTATTGTTGTCCCACTGACCCATTATCCTATAGGCTATTGTTGTCCCACTCACCCATTATCCTATAGGCTATTGTTGTCCCACTGACCCATTATCCTATAGGCTCTTGTTGCCCCACTCACCCATTATCCTACAGGCTATTGTTGTCCCACTCACCCATTATACTATAGGCTATTGTTGTCCCACTGACCCATTATCCTATAGGCTATTGTTGTCCCACTGACCCATTATCCTATAGGCTCTTGTTGCCCCACTCACCCATTATCCTATAGGCTATTGTTGTCCCACTGACCCATTATCCTATAGGCTATTGTTGTCCCACTGACCCTTTATCCTATAGGCTATTGTTGTCCCACTGACCCATTATCCTATTGGCTCTTGTTGTCCTACTAACCCATTATCCTATAGGCTATTGTTGTCCTACTGACCCATTATCCTATAGGCTATTGTTGTCCCACTGACCCATTACCCTACAGGCTATTGTTGTCCTACTGACCCATTATCCTATAGGCTATTGTTGTCCTACTGACCCATTAACCTATAGGCTATTGTTGTCCCACTGACCCATTATCCTATAGGCTATTGTTGTCCCACTGACCCTTTATCCTATAGGCTATTGTTGTCCTACTAACCCATTATCCTATAGGCTATTGTTGTCCCACTGACCCTTTACCCTACAGGCTATTGTTGTCCTACTGACCCATTAACCTATAGGCTATTGTTGTCCCACTGACCCTTTATCCTATAGGCTATTGTTGTCCGACTCACCCATTATCCTATAGGCTATTGTTGTCCCACTCACCCATTATCCTACAGGCTATTGTTGTCCCACTCACCCATTATCCTATAGGCTATTGTTGTCCCACTGACCCTTTATCCTATAGGCTATTGTTGTCCCACTGACCCTTTATCCTATAGGCTATTGTTGTCCCACTGACCCATTATCCTATAGGCTATTGTTGTCCCACTGACCCTTTATCCTATAGGCTATTGTTGTCCCACTGACCCTTTATCCTATAGGCTATTGTTGTCCCACTGACCCATTATCCTATAGGCTATTGTTGTCCCACTGACCCTTTATCCTATAGGCTATTGTTGTCCCACTCACCCATTATCCTATAGGCTCTTGTTGTCCCACTGACCCTTTATCCTATAGGCTATTGTTGTCCCACTGACCCATTATCCTACAGGCTATTGTTGTCCCACTCACCCATTATCCTATAGGCTATTGTTGTCCCACTGACCCTTTATCCTATAGGCTATTGTTGTCCCACTCACCCATTATCCTATAGGCTATTGTTGTGTACTCTCTGGGGCTGCGCACGGAACTCCAGCCATCAGGGTAGAGGGGCCAAGGGGAGTGGGCAACCATCGATTGGGTTCGAGGACGGGCAGCGGATAGGCATGTGTGTGCGCCCACTTGCCCCAACAGTCTGTTGAGGCTATACAGGGGATCTTTGTCTGTGTGGAGCCAGGCGAGGTTGACGGTGGGGAACGGTAGTGCAGTGGTTAGCGCGTTGCGCTGCGAACCCAGCGAGCCAAGTTGGATTCCCGCTCACGGCCACCAACACCAATGACGATTATCTGAATCGGTCCTGGGCCTCCCCTAGGTCGACTCAACCTCGAGTAAGTACCTGGGTGCGGTGTGTAAACATCGCCACTGGGGAGCCAAAGGCGGCCGGGCGTGGTGCTGGCTCGTGCGCCCCTCCGGCTTGCATAAGTGCCGCTCGCTAACAGCACTTGCCCCCAGAGTCTGTTAGAACTATCGGGGGGATATTTGGCTTTGGTGCCCACCCCTTCCCGTCTGAATCCCCCCCCTCCCGCCCCCATTATTGAGCTAACGGTTGGTGTCGGCGGAAGGGATTCGTCTCGAGACGCGGTTCCCCTTCTTCTTCACGCGTCGAGTCGACCGAAGAACGAGGATGGAGAGGTTGAGTGAAGGTCACGTGGTAAGGAGACGAGCGAGGTGTTTGCAGCAGAGGGGCTGTCAGGGGTTTCCCTCCTGTTCACACAAAGAGAGAGAGAGTGGAGAGAGCGAGCGAGTGAGAGAGATTTTTGAACCAACTCGGGACGTGGATGGCCAAAGGAACAGCTCACTCGATGTGCAGACTTCAGTGGGATACTCATTCCCTCTGCCACACATTTTACGATTCAGACCGTCGGTCATTTGCACGTGGTACCGAAACCACAAATGGTGCATTGTCACGACCTGCTCCATAGCAATGCTGCCGTACACAAAGCACACAAACAGAAAAGACAGACGTCCGTAAGTCACGGGGAAGTGACGGTGAACAACACAGCGCTGGTCACACGCAGGAGCGATTTTGGCTGCTGGACGTGGAGCTCAGCCAGTCCGGGGTGGCAATCGCGACGGAGCCCCGACGACTAGCACGCAGTCCGCTCTGACTCGCCAACCTCCGCTCCGCGCTCTCTCCCCGCCTTACAACAGCAGCTTCGTATATGGGGGGTGGCGCCTTACCTGGCTAACAAGTGCCATGACCTCGCCAACTTCCCCTGTGCTCAGGCGAAGTTGGCGGTGTACAGAACGAGGAAGAAGACGCTGCAAGGTGACACCGGCGGCTGCTCTGTGCTGCTTCCAGTGTCCAGGGGCCTGCTCAAGGCGCGGCTACGGCTGGAGCACGCCACGTACCACACACACGTGCCGGTGATGTGCACGTCTTCTTCGAACGCTGGGGAGCCGGACAAGCCCCTCTCTGTACAAGTGTGGACGGCACCCTCCACGTGTTCATCTTCTGAAGCGCTCGCTCGTCGCCGTGGCTTGCGCGATGACCACCACCACCACGTGACTTTTCTTTCGTCATGTGCGCGCCGCATTTAGCGCCACAGCGCGTGGATTTATAGCGATTATTTGTGTTGCTGGTGACTTTATGTATTTCATATCGGAATCGCCTCCAGTGCTGTTGCTGCTGGCAGCAATAAAAGTTGTTTAAAAGTCAAAAGTCTCACTCTTTATTTCTGGCTTCTCTTCAACGCGAATGCATCGTTCGCCTCTAACTAAATATTTCCGTGGAGAGGAGCAATGTAATTAGTTGTAAACCATGTTTGTTACCCTTCAATTGGCACTTGCTCCGGCAGGACATGTATTAAAATTGGAACGATACAGAGAAGATTAGCATGGCCCTTGCGCAAGGATGGCACGCACATTCCCGAAGTGTTCTATCTCTCTCTTGTTCTCTATATATCTTTCTCGTTCTCTCGCTCTCTCTTTCTCTCTCTTTACTTTTACGATCAGAGGAAACAAGAAGATGCTCGGTGCAGTCGGCACTTTGCGTTCTCTCTCTCTGCTGTGGGACGTGCTCCGTGCCATGAAGGAGCTGCGCCTGAAGCTGGAGGCGCCGGGGGACGGTGGGGGTCCCCCCCCTCCTCCTCTTTCCCGGAGTTGTGCTTCTCCCGCGCGCAGCCCCCTGGCCACAGCGACTCCGGCAAGCTACTGAAGCTCCGAGGCTCTAGGAACGTGCCCCTGAAGAGCGCCCCGAACACAGCGCTCTACACGTGGCTGTGTAAAGGCGCTGCATTCCCGGGACCTGGCCAACCTACCGGACACAAAGTGCAGATACCATTTCTCTCCTCTCATTGCGACCGCCCCTCAGTGGAAACAAATGTACAAGTCTCCCGTAGCTAAACGCTGCGGTTACCGCCAGTGGAGCTTGGCACACTGCACGTTGCCATCGGCCGTGTGGCTCAGCCGAATCTCGCCAAGGGTAACAGACTTGTGCATTTCCTGCGGTGCCAGGGAGGATCTGCCCCATCAGCACTTACGCTGCCAGCAGCTCAAACCAATGTTCCGCCTTTTGGGGGACATCTTCAGGAAACTGGGGGTACCCTTCTACAACAGCAGCTTCGTATATGGGGGGTGGTGCCTTACCTGGCTAACAAGCGCCATGACCTCGCCAACTTCGCCTGTGCTCAAGCGAAGATGGCGATGTACAAGTCGAGGAAAAATAAGCTGCAAGGTGACACTGACGGCTGCTCTGTGCTGCTTCCAGTGTTCAGGGGCCTGCTCAAGGCGCGGCTCCGGTTGGAGCACGCCACGTACCACACACGTGTCGGTGATGTGCAGCGCGTCTTCCTCAAACGCTGGGGGGGCCGGAAAAGCCCCTCTCTGTACCAGCGTGGACAGAACCCTCCACGTGTTCACCTTCTGAAGCGCTCGCTCGTCACCGTGGCGCGCTACGACCACCACCACCACCACGTGCCTTTTTTGTGTTGTGCGCGGCGCATTTAGCGCCACAGCGCCTGTGTTGTTTATTGTGTTTTTTTTTTGCTGCTGGTGACTGTGGATGTCGAAGCGGAATCGCCTCCAGTGCTGTTGCTGCTGGCGGCAATAAAAGTTGTTTAAAAGTCAAAAGTTTCTCTCTCACTCTCTCGTTTTCTCTCGCTCTCTCTCTCTCGTTCTCTCTCACTCTCTCTGTTTGACACATGTATGTGTTTGACACCTGTGTGCGTGACAGGTGTCCTGTCTGCATGACACCTGTGTGTGTGTGTGTGAGACACCTGTGTGTGTGTGTGAGACATCTGTGTGTGTGTGTGAGACATCTGTGTGTGTGTGTGTGACACCTGTGTGTGTGTGTGTGAGACATCTGTGTGTGTGTGTGAGACATCTGTGTGTGAGACACCTGTGTGTGTGTGTGACACCTGTGTATGTGTGTGTGAGACATCTGTGTGTGTTGGACACCTCTCTCTCTCTCTCTCGTTCTCGCTCTCTCTGCTCCAGCCGTCGTCACAGTGTTGGCAGAACTAACAGCACCTCGTTCATTCATTTTTTTTGTTGTCGTTCCCCAGCCCCCTCCGCTTCCCTCTTGACTCGCTGAACCAGCGAACGCAAACGGCAATTTTCATGTCCGTGGCGGCGGCTGCGGCGGTGGTGGGGGCTGCTTGTGGGCGGCTGATTAACAAAGCGAAGTCTTTGTGCGTCGTCTCCCAGGCACGAGGGCACTGCCCGCCGTCGGAGGCGTTTGCCCGCAGAGAACAACAGCCCCGTGTGTCGGCGACCCCGCGCCGGTTGGAGGCGCGCACGATGAGAGATGAGCCGATTTGACACGTAGCAGGCTGTCGCGACCAATATCATCCATAATAGAGGGTGTTTTTGGGGGGGGGGGGGGTGAGATGGCGTAAATATATAAATGTGTCGTTGAAACCCGCCACCACCCGACACAGCCAACTAGTAAGGGTTGTCACATGTTCACATGTTCTGTTGTCACATGTTCTGTTCTGTTTACGTGACAACCCTTACTAGTTGGCTGTGTCGGGTGATGGCGGGTTTTAACGACACATTGATACATTTACGCGATCTAACCCCAAAAAAACCCTCTATTATGGAGATGAGCCGAGCGAGGAGCGCTTCTGCACCGCGCGTTGACGAAGGGAAAGTGCTGTTGTTAGCGAGCACCTATTAAGGCCGGAACACGAGAGGGTGGGTGAGTTAGTGGCCAACACCACGCCCGGCCGACCTTTGAACCACAAAGACAAAGATCCCCCGGTGTAGCTTGGAACAAATTGTTGGGGCAAGTGCTGTTTGCGAGTAGCACCTATGAAGGCCGGCACGGCACACGAGGGCGTGGGTGGCCAGCACCACGCCTCGCCGCCTCTGTCTCCCCAGTGGCGATGTTTACTACACACCGCACCAGGTGCTCGTTTGAGGCTGAGTCGACCTCGGGGATGCCCAGGACCGGTTCAGATAATCGGTCACTGATGTTGGCCGTGAGCGGGAATCGAACTCGGGTCGCCGGGTTCGTTGCGCGCTAACCGCTGCACCACCGCTCACCACACCACGCCCGGCCGCCTTTGCCCGACACAACAACAGCCGCCATCTGCCACTAGGTGGCGGTGATGTCACCATGGCGCTTGTGCCAGGCTAGGTGCACTTTAAGGCCGGTGTCGAACGCCCGCTGGCAGGAGGTCACGGGATAGACCCAGGTGCCATGGGTTGACTGACTGAGATGAGCACGCACACCCACACACGCACACACACATGCCCGCACGCACGCACACACACGCACGCACGCACACGCACACACACGCCCGCACGCACGCACGCACACACGCACACGCACGCACACACGCACGCACACACAGCACACACAGCACGCACACACGCACACGCACACACACACGCACGCACACACACACGCCCGCACGCACACACGCACGCACAGCACACACACACGCACGCACATACACACGCCCACACGCACACACGCACACGCACGCAAACACACGCACGCACAGACACACAGCACACACACATCACGCACACACGCACAGTACGCACCCACAAACGAAATCACATCCGCGTGCGCGGCAGACTCGTTGCGAAAGACGACGAGCGTTGGCATCTGCTGTGCTGTCGACTGCGTGTGTGTGTGTGGGCGTGCGTGTGCGTGTGTGCATGCGTGTGTGTGTGCGTGCTGTGTGTGCGTGCGTGTGTGGGCGTGCGGGCGTGCGTGTGTGTGTGAGCGTGCGTATGTGTGTGTGTGTGCGTGTGTGTGCATGCGTGTGTGTGCGGGCGTGTGTGTGTGTGCGTGTGTGCGCAGGGGAGGTTGAGCGATCGTGGAGCGGTTCGCGCGGTGCTACGGGCAACGAACCCGGATAGCCCCGAGTTGGACATTCCCGCTCACGGTGAGCACGGTTTGCGACGTACGACGCCAAAGAAGTTCAACACGCATGTACACACCGTCGACGGATATCTGAACCGATGCTGGATCTCCCCTACGTCGATCACGTCACCACTGGGGAGACAAAGGCGGCCTGGCGGGTTGCGTGCGGTGCCGACCTTCATTATAGGTGCCCGATATGAGCACTTGCCCGAGCCAGTGCTGTTAAAGGCCTATACGGAGTGGGGATCCTTGCATGCGCGTGTGTGTGTACGTGTGTGTGTGTACGTGTGCGTGTGTGTACGTGTGTGTGTGTGTACTTGTGTGTGGAGGAGGCTCGTGAAGGACGCTACTGGGCAGTTGGAGGCAGTCGCCCTCCAACAACAACGGAGAGGCAGAGGAGCGACGCTCACAACAACGAGCGGAGCGCCGGGTGGCTAAAGCACAGCAAGTTGGCACAGTAGGGGGCACAGGTGGTGCATCAGCCAGTCATCTCGGTCGTCTCAGTCAGTCGACCCGTGGCACCTGCTGGGTCTGCCCCGTGACCTCCTGCCAGCGGGCGTTCGACACTTCACGTGGCCGTAAGGTGCACATGGCCTGGCACAAGCGTCCTGGTGACGACACCGTCACTTAGTGGCGAATGGCGGTTGTTGTTGTTGTGGGTACTGCGGGACTTGGTGGCGCTGAGTTCTCGCGGTGGTCAGAGGGTGCCATCGAACGGGCGACTGTGTGGGTTTTGGGATTAATCCCGGCCGCTGTGGGCATGGCCACAGCCTTGCGGGCAAGGCATTTGTCTCGGGTCAGGGGTCGGCAACCCGCGGCTGCTTCGTGACGTTGTTCGCGTGCATTGCGGCTGTTTGAAATGTTGAGGGTTTCCTTTTTTGTTTTACCGAATTTAAAGAAGCAGAAGAAGATTTTTTTGAAAAAACATATGTTCTTCTGCTTTGCCGACCCCACCACCTCCGGTCTCGGCTCACAGCCCCGGACGACGCCCCCCGTGACTGCCTCGAAGCTGCCGGACGCTCTCTGGCGCTGCCTTCGTTCTAAACATTCGACCGGTGGCGCGGTGCGGTAGTTGAATTGTCCCTCTCGCGGCATGGGTGGGTGCTGAAATGTCAAAACCCCTCGGGTGTTTGTGTGACGCCGCTGCTGCTGCGTTGTCAGTGGCGCACAATTAACAACAGCAAACAGATTTAAATTTTTATTTAAAGCTTTCGTGACTGCAGGGATTCAGATATTTATATTCTTTGGGTCTGAAAATCGCTTGTGTTGTGATCGAAACGTCGTAGTTTTTGGCTATTTTCTTTCAACCCATCTATACGCGACTTTACCGAAAGACCCAAAGAATATGCATCCCTGCAGTCACGAAAACTTTAATACAAGATTTAACAGCAACAGACTCAACCACGTTCGTCAGTAATAACAACACCGTGGCTTGAAAAGGGAAATTCGTAATGTGCAACGTTTCAAGCAACGAACCTTATCCATAGCAATAAGCCCTTCTTCGCAACCCTTAAATAGGGCTTGTTTAAATAGGTGCTATGCAGAAGGTGCATTTCCCTGAACGTCGCCTAATATATTGTTTTCCTTTAAAGGGTCACACAGTGTAATTAACTAATTTACTCAAATGTCGGCTGTTCTTTGTAAAGGCACTGAGGAGTTGAATGCGAATGTCGGGGTCTGCTGCAGCTGCTGCTGCCAGCCAGGACGAGAGGGCTTCAGACGAGAGAGTTCCTCTCGTTTTGCCGTTTCTCCTTCTTCGTTGAAGGAGTGCAGACTACAGTCGATGTCATCTTGAACTTCTTGCGGCCACCGCACGTAGCCAACCGCGCTCATCAGAGACGCGGTTTGCTGCGTGGTCCATGGTTTGCGTTGTGTGTCCACAATCCCAGTAACTGCACTGTGACTTCTCTTCCATGTATTTAAATGAGCAGCGAGGTGTCTATTTGGGTCTCTGTGCAACTCTGTGCATCTGTCTTCTTGCGAATGGCAATACTGTTTACTCACGAGATGAATTGGCAATGCCGAGGCCTGCTGCTGCTGCTGCTGGCCAGAGTGAGTTTACTGTTGCAGTCCGTAGTGTTTACTGAGACACGCAAATTGCATTTCTGTGGGAATCTAATGCTGCTGTTGTTGTTGTCCTTGCTGCTGCTGTTGTTGTTGTTCTCGCTGTTGTTGTCGTGGCACCCTTTCGCAAGTATCAATATATAAAATGAATGACATAAAAAGCTACAGCTGTTATTATTCATAATAGGGGGGGGGGGGGGGTGTTAGATAATCGTTAAATATATATGAACCATTTATGGCATTCGGCCAGGAAAGTCACGAAAAAAATTGCACACGAACGACGCATTCACGCAAGCACCCGATGCTCCGTTTTTAATTTTTTAAATGAAACATCTTTGAATTGCATTATGTTTTGAATTATAAAATTGTATTTCTTCATTAAAAGCTTATATCATTTCACATTTGGAAGACTTCATTGAAAACGACATTTCGTGTGAATTTTCTCTCGTCGTTAAGTAAGATGATGGCCTTGCTGGGGGTTCAGCTCGATGCGGACTTTCACCTGTTTGTGATTGCGGGATCGAGATAAGGCGACATCGAGCTGCTGGCCGTGCGGGAAGACCGCCGTCTGCAGATCTATTCGAACGTCTGCAGATCGAAATAGGCTTTACCCTTTTAACTGGCACAAAAACTGACACCTTTATTCAAGGCATCATGTTTGCAATAACCACAACACAAGCAGTCAAAATGCAAACAAAAGAGACAACTCTGATAATATGCACTGTCCTTGAATTTGATTGGTCCACACCCGAGACGGCTTTTCTTAGAGCCTAGTCTCCACTGGTGTTGGACCAGAAGACGCCAAAAGGCGTACAACTCAAAAACAGCGCACTATCAGGTTATTGAGGGCTCGGGGTGAGCATTTACATTATGAGACCTCCTTTGCCAGCAACATGATATAGAAATAGGTTTTACCCTTGCACTGTCCTTGAATTTGACGGAAATTGCAGCGTTCATCACAGATAGATAAAGTTGTGCGCTTATATAAGAGTACTAGCTGTACTACTCGGCTTCGCCCGGGACTTGGATTCACCACGCCCGGCCGCCTTTGTCCCCCCAGTGGCGATGTTCACACAGCAGAACAGTTGCTCGTTTGATGCTGAGTCGACCTAGGGGAGGCCCAGGACCGGTAAAAAAATAATCGTTACCGGTGGTGGCCGTGAGCGGGAATCGAACTCGGGTCGCCGGGTTTGTAGCGCGGCTTGCTAACCACTACACTACAATGCGTTACGCTTCCACACACAGACACAGATTACACATACACAGCGTGCTGACCACTACACTACAATGCGTTACGCCTCCACATGCGTGGGTCACGTGACATATATTGACGTCACAGCTCACTTGCCGTGCAAAAAAAATGCATTATTGAGCTCCCCCCTCCCAAAAAAATCGCACGTGGGGAGTTTGACAGCAGATTAGTGGGGTGGGGGGGGGGGGGGGGGGGGCACGAGGGGGGGGGGCAGGGGGTGGGGGCCCGTGGGGGGGGGGGGGCTGCGACTCTCGGGTCACATGACGCCACACTCTTTGGTTCTATTCGGTAAAGTCACGTAGGTAAAAAATAAAACAACAAAAATCACGACGTTTCGGCCACAACACAAGCGGCACAAGCGACGTTTCGGCCACAACACAAGCGGCCGCTTGTGTTGTGGCCGAAACGTCGTGATTTTTGTTGTTTAATTTTTTTTACCTACGTGACTTTACCGAATGGAACCAAAGAGTGTGGATCCTTGCAGTCACGAAAGCTTTAAATCTAGAACGCATGACACCAGGCAGAGTCACGACACAATCCCCATCAAGTGCGGGGCAGAGTGGACACGCAGGAACGCCGGACCCACCGCGCTGTCGATAAGCTTGGCTAACAACAACAACGACAACAGTTTCTCCTGTTAAGATACAAATTCAAAGATCCTCCTCCCCGTCTATAGCCTTAACGTACTGTTTGTCCAGGCCCGCACAGACCACGTGGGGGTGGGTGGGTGGGCCAGCAACATGCCCGGCCGCCTTCGTCTCTCTTAATAATTTGAGGCGGAGTCGACCTAGGGGAGGCCCATGACCGGCACAAATGTATCACCAATTATTGTCGGTCATGAGCGGGAATGGAACTTTTTTGGTTGCAGTGCCGGATTATCGTAGTAGCAACAGTAGCTGCATATGTAGCTACTACACATGTGTAGTATTTACACATGTGTAGTATTTACACATGTGTAGTATTTACACATGTGTAGTATTTACACATGTGTAGTATTTACACATGTGTAGTATTTACACATGTGTAGTAGCTACACATGTAGTAGCTACGCGCACCGCACTTTCAAGAGCCCCGCGCTAAACGCTTTCAAGCTATCAATTCCGGTTCAGTGATTCTGCTCTTGCTCTATTACTATAGTACTATACCGCCTTCAACTTTTACGAACGACTGGGTGTTTAATGTTAGCGATATGTCGTATTATCTGGCTGTAAAGAAAAAAATACAATTACTTTACTATGCAAGTGAAAAATTTGTGTTTTAATATTTAATATTCAGGGCTTCGTAGCGCAACGCGCTAACCACTGAAGCCACCACTCCGCGCTGTTAAGTCACGACGCACTACCTCGGCTCAACAAAAATGTGTTTTTTTACTCTTTGCCTTGACCGTGAGAATCGATCGCCCCATTACAAGTTTGGAACGCGGCGTTCTGGACAAAGAGAAGCGGCTGTCATTGTAAAATGAGATTCCCACAAAGCGGATTTGGCATCGTGCATTCGGGCTTATTGATAACGGGCGTGATCATGTGCGGAACGGAAAAGTTTCAGCAGCCACTTCACAGAACAACTTTTCTTTGTCCGTGTCAGTCTTCATCGCACACATTGGAGCGCATCTAAGTTGCATGGAGTGAATGTCTTGGGGTCCGGTTTGTGCGATTTCACCTTTATGTAGCCAACCTATTTCTACCCAAAAAATTCGCTTTATGATGCGATTTAAATTCACGCTACATGTGGCTATGCGGTCGTACTTGTGAAAAAGATTGCGTGTGTACCGTGTGTACTGTGTGTGTACTGTGTGCGTTGTGGGTGTACTGTGTGTACTGTGTGCGTTGTGTGTGTACTGTGTGTACTGTGTGTGTACCGTGTGTACTGTGCGTGTACTGTGTACCGTGTGTACTTGTGTACTGTGGGTGTACTGTGTGTACTGTGCGTGTACTGTGTACCGTGTGTACCGTGTGTACTGTGTGTGTACTGTGTGTACTGTGTATGTACTGTGTGTACTGTGTGTGTATCGTGTGTACTGCGTGTGTACTGTGTGTGTACCGTGTGTACTGA